TCGAAGTGTCAGTGTTCAAAGGATTTTCCGGAAGAACCCTTCGCAATGCTTTCGGGAATGAGATAGGGCCCCCACATAAACGATATAGTTTTACAGTCTGAACGAGATACTGTGACATGACCTTCCACTTAAGTAGTCTAAACGAGATAGGGCCTCCGCATAATAGTGTATTTGAGTTTAGTACGAACCAAATGCCGCCTCACACACACACACATACAAAAAACAAATATATATATATATATTAATATATTAATGCATATGAATCATATATGCATCCGCTACCACAACCAGGCCATAGTTGTTGAGCAGACGCGAGGTACGTGAAGGCCTTTGCCCGGCGCAGTGTGGCCAACGAAGAGCTGAAGAAGTGGCATGACGCCTTTGAGGATCTGAAGAAAGCCGTGGAACTGGATCCCAATCTGCGCTCCAAGGCCCGTCGCGAAGTCTTTTTGCGTCGTTCTAAACCGCGCCCAAGCCGCATGGTTTATATGCGACGATATAGAGCGAGTGTTAGTATGGCCTGGCCCAAATGCGCGGTGCTGTGTTGGTGTCTTGAAGAATTGCACTGCCAGGGCCCGACATGAATTGTTTGGTTTGGACATCGGCAGATTTCGTTATATTGTAATATGCCTAAGGTGGTTCATAAGACTGCCAATATATGCTATGTTATATGGCCTTTGGGAGAACAAGGCAGCGCGCAATACAGAGATGTACGGGGAGCAGAGATCAGAAGCGACGTCTTGGATTAAAGTGAGAAGAAGTCACATATAAACTGCAAGTTGTAGATGTGTAAAGTCTCGTAGGCCACTAGCGAGTGGCCACTGATGAGTGGACACATAGTGAGCGTGATTGGTAGCCTTGGGTGCCATAGTGATCAGCAGACCCTCTCATCTCCAGGAAAGCCGGCGCTTAGCAGTGCTGGAGAAGCGAGCGCAGGAGCAGTTCGAGAAAGATAAGGATGAAATGCTGTCGAAGCTGAACCTTGTTGCTTTGTTCAGCGGGTCACACAAAAGGTACAGTATCCTGGGCTGTTTGAGTTCTTTCTCCGGCGGATGCTGTTGGGCGCTAGAATTTGAATTTGCTGTTTCATATAATGAATAAATATGCAGCATGCATTTGAAAGCATCATGGGGGGTGCACCGAAGTTCCTCAGAGGGTATGGGGAGATGGGACGCCTGTTGCAATTTTTTTTCGCACAACGACCAATCACCACATCATTCAATCCAACTGCTTACTGTTCTGCAGTTTGTATTCTGGTCGACTGCGAGGCTCACATGTGGTCGAGCTAACACGATGGGGCGCAAATCCTATGGGCCAGGACTCCTAACACATCCGATTCCCCATTTCCGATGGGATGCGTCGGATGAATGCATTGTTCCCCGCAAAAGTCGGAGAACAGTCGCCGACCACTCTCGGACAACTCAGGAAAGACCTTGGCAACACGGTACTGGGGACTCTTGGCCCAGTTTGGCCACCAGCTTTGGCGGTATGCCACCATATGCCACCTGTATGGCAATGCATTAGTGCGGAGTGAATCGAAAGGACAGAACACATGCTGAGGAAGTTCGGCATGTCGACGGACAACTTCAAGTTGGAGCAGGATCCGGACACTGGCAGTTGCTTGGCTGTTTTGTGCACCATGACTCATGAACATCCTTTCGACAAACCAAATCAGAACTTGTCCTTCATTCTCATAAGAACTACTGTATATAATTACTCTTTCGATTGTTCGTGTTGAGTGGAAGATGAAAAGTTGATTGCTTGAAAGTAGCCTGGCCACAGAATGTGTGATGCGTCGGGCCTTGGCTTCTCAGGTTACTCCATCAAATTCCAAAGCTGAGCTTGCCAACAGCAGCTGGCTCCCGCTTTGGTCTTGCATAGTACGTCGCAGAGGTGTGCGTGATGCACTCACTGTACAGTGCGATTGAGGATTGAAAAGGCCTCAGCGCAACTGGCAGACACACTTTATCACACTTTTATCACTTTTATCAAGACTTGAGATGTGGAAACTCGGTAATTCCGCAATGACACGATGTAAATGGTGAGAATGGAGAAAATTATGTAGTGATAGCACATCTCTTGCCCCTGCAGCCGGTGACCTTTGGCAGAGGTGCATATGCATGTACATGCCTGTACCATCATTTTGGTCTCATCAACCCCCACCGTTGTTCTACCAAAAGGATCTCCAAACTCTTTGATTTGCGGGAGTTTCATTAGTTGTATGTTTGTTGCCCTTGGTAACAATGACTCAATGACAGCCTGAAGACATTTGAGCACTTTTAACCAGCGCTGCACGATCCCACAAGGCCGTTTCTGGATGTCGTGGGCCGACTTCTGTGACATTTTCGATGTGGTGGAAGCCTGTCCCATGGAGGGATGTGCCAAGAAGGTGTGGTGGCGGCCACTCCACTTGGTCTTGTGCCATTCTCTAGCCCACCGAGATCAGGAGTCAAACCTTTTAGCAAGTAACACGTAGTAACGCAACAGTGAACCTTTCAGAGATCATACAACCATGCTGGATTAAAGCTGACCCGCTCCCTTCCCAAAAGGAACATGCCAATGTTCCTGTTGACATCATGCTTTGGACATGGCTAGCAGCCAGGCCTCCCACATGCCACCGAAGCTGCCGATACCTCAAAGAAGCACCGGCAGCCGAAGAAGCAGCGGAAGCAGCGGAAGCGGTGGGAGCGGGAGCAGCTCGTTTTTTGGGCTGTGGAGGCCACAGCCACACGAGGGAGCGTCGAGGTCCTCAGCATGAAATCTACTTGTCCGATGGTGGTGTGCCCAACGTTGCTGCGCCTCGATAGTCTTTTCTCATGCCTGGTTGAGTGATCTCCATTCTTTCGGGTGTCTTCTCAGGCAACCTGAGGGGGTGGAAGCTTGGATCAAGACCACAGAGTCCGTCGATGGACCCTATATTGACATGTATGCAGGAACCCATAGCCATAGCATGTTCATGCATTTTCAGCTGCATTGCTAGGGCATGCTACGACTTCCTTCATGGTATTTTCTTGGTGTTGAGGTTCTATCATATGACCTTCCTGCATGTCGATGTGTTGGCTCTTTGTTTGCTTCGGGTGCGATGTGTGCTGCGATGCATGGGTTTTCCCGTGGGTTCTCCTAAACGTCGTGCAGGTGGGATTGCTGCAGCGTCGAGCGGGCGTGAGCGAGGGAAGATCGACCTGGCGCGGTGGATAACATGGCTTCTTGACAGAGAGACGATCTCCCAAAGCAATGTCCAAATGGTTTTTATCTCGGAAGAGAAAGGGTTGCAGCATATATACAGTACAGATTATAGCTTCACTGAGTAGGGAAATAGCGCTTTTTAGCAGCCCTTGGGCACGAAGTTCAGGTTGATTCATCCTCCTTTTGCCGGATCCAACTTGCCATGTACATAGCGCTTTTCAGAGGAACTGGAAAGGCAAGGGCAAGGCCAATGAGACCAGAAACGGAGCTCAGAGAAAAAGCAGTGATGCCAGCTGCATGCATTTTCGTGCACCTAAGGGACCTCCCACTGCCAGCAAGAGCAAGGTCCACACACAGATTAGCTGTTCGGCATTCCAACCAGCAAATCCTGAAAGGGCGGTTGAACCTGACGTGTGCACTGTGCCTGTTGAATGCCAAAATGCCTTGCTTGGACCTATGACTTTGGTTAAGCTTCTTATGGTTGGATCTGCTGATTTGCATGTGAAAGTCCTTCACTGAGAAGCTCCAGCACAATACAAATAGCCAGTTCAGGAATGCAATGACACTTACGGATGAGCACGGCCCTGGGTTGCCAGGACCATCAGCCTCCGCCTTTGTCAGAGATTGTGCCCAGCCCTTAAGCATCTTAAGCTGCCGAGTCAAATTATAGTATATTATAGTGGGATAAAGGCGCCAGGTTCAATCAGATGGGTGTGGCTCAAAATGCCGGGAAGCCGGCTTGACTAGCGACTAGTGCAAATTACCAGAATGGACGACCTACAATCATTTGCGATGCATGGCTTCGACGCACAGCCAGAGCAAGAACCCTTTGTGGATAGTGTACTCACTGTGTTGGCAAGGAATCCACTATCCAATCAATGATGAATAATGCATGGTGGTTATTGATGTCGAATGTCCATAGGCGTGAAATCCACAGGGCATGATGGTTCTTGTTGACAATCTGAGAGTCTATTTTGTGATGATACTATGCTTGCTTGTCAACGGGTGGAAGAAAAACCATAAACGAAACACATTCCGTTGGGAGTTTGACATGGCATTGGAAGTCCTGGCCTTGAATCTCATAGATCTCGACTGCATGCGCACCAACAAGGCGTTTTCTGACGGTGGTGCAAGTCCAAGACTCAGCTCTTTTGGGGGATGTTGGGGGTCATGGGGACGAAAAGGGGCTGGGAGAGCTGGGAGTAGCTGATGTTAGGTGGTTTGATGTTATTGGGTGATGGAAGTAGTAGACGTTTCGGCCAAGCCTGGTGCAGTGCAGTGCGGACACGCAGCAGGACACATGCGGGCTTGGCGTGGCTAGTGTGAGATGGATATTGCAGGACTTGGGTGAGATCTGGCAACATCTTTCCCACCCTTTTGAGAATTCAACTGCGGACACCATGACCAGCATTCATGGGAATGGCTGTGCTGAGGCTTGGATGAGCGAATGCAGGCACGGGGTGGGGAATGATACCACACTTGAGCGAAAGATGGCAGGGCGGGTGTCAACCTCAACAGGCTAGCAAAGGGTGCACTGTCCATCATACCTGGCCCAGTCCTGAGCCCATATATCATATATCCCATTTGGCTTCCCAAATCAGCAGAGCACTTGTCCCAAAGGTTTTGTGACAACAGACCTGACCTACATGATGTTTCCCTGCAAGATGCACAACATGAATGACCGCACTCTGTGGTTGCCCAAACTATGCCAACTAAGCTTGGCTTTCTCATTTGCTAGCTTCCTTGCACCACCTCGGAGGAGCAACATTGTTGCTGTTCACTGCAGAGGAGGGAAGGCACAGGGCCCCCCGGGACCGACATGATCGCCATGGTAAGAGGTGGCAGTGATCATGAGAAGGACATGTCGCGGGCGTTCTTTGCGTTGGGAAGTTTTGGAACAAATGTGACTCCGGCCGTTTTTCAGCATCCTTGCAGAGACACATGCTTGTGGATATTTTGGCGAGCTCAGCATTTTTCCTCATTATGCTACGACAGGGGCGCACTGGCTCCTTCTGTTGCGCCTGGCTTCTCTACACAAAGGTGCCTGCCAGTTGAATCAAAGAGCTACTCTCACCGAAAGTCACTGTCAGAGACGCGACATGTGGCCCTAAGATGGCCCAAGAGGTTCAAAAACAAGGGAAAGAACTCTTGGTGGAGAGATCCCTAAGAGAAACTCCCTCAAGAGGATGGACACCCCCCCAAAGGCCCAAGAGGTCCAACATATCATTTAGATGGACGCCCCTTTGCAGAAGAAGCCCTGTATGGCTGCCGCTCATTGGAGGAAGCGGAAGATGCGGAAGATGCCCTGAACTTCTTTGCTCTTCGAAGGAGCGTGTGTGTAGATTTGTTGAAGCTGCGGCCATGTGGCGGCTTGTGTGAGGACAGACATGGCCAAGAAGAAGATGTCCAAGGCAGGAGCCTTACTTCATATCTTATATATCTTCGATTCATGAACGGTTATGTATATATATATATGTGTGTGTGTGTGTGTGTGTGCTAGACTCAGCTAGCTCTTTCTACCTCCTACCTCGCATTTGGGTGCGTTTGTTATGCCGTGTGGACTCCGGCTCTCCCAGGTGCAGGGGGTGGAGACACCCTCCCAGGTGCGCTATGTCGGCTATGCCCGGGCACTTGAAGAGATGGGAGTTGTGGCCCGGTCCTTCCAGGGCATTGGCAGGTGTGCCTTTGATGTGTACTGCAGGTGACGTTCTTTTTTAAAAATAGCTACTGCTGCTGTAATCTCCTGTGCCAAGTAGGGCCAGTTGGTGAGTATTATTGTATCCCAGCGGTCTTCTTTTTTGATTTTCTTTGTCCTTAACTTGTCATGGGCTGGAGGCAAAACGAGATGGAATGTTGACACTCCTAGCTGCTTGGCTGAGGTTGAGCAACTACTGCAACAGCAAGCCGCGCAAGAAGGCTCAGTTTTGCCAAGAGCTCGAAGGAGTCCCTTGTTGCGCATGATGGGTTTCTTGAAACCATACCTAAACTCCATTCAATATACAGTACTGTATATAGATTATATAGCAATTACTGACTCAACCTTCTTGACTGAGTTACCCAACATCACCAAGAGATCCTTCAAGCGGGTATTACAAACATATGTCTAAGTGGCACCCATCCCTTGTTGCACCTGCAGCAATCCACCCTGTCACCGGAAACAACATTTATATATCACCATTATATACCCGTCGGTGTCTCATTTTGTTGTCGAAGAGTCTCCCACACCCAATATGAACAGCGTGGCATAACGCCAGTGAATACAAGGGTGGACAAAATGTATACTCTTGATTAGTAAAGCCACCCATATGGGAGCCCCCCTCGGGTGGTCGCTCTTTCTGTGCCATCCTCATAGGGTTCAGGATGCCGTTTAGTGGAATGCTAGCGGCACTGCCTCACACCTGATTTGTGAGCGCGAAAGGTAGAAGAGATTTTACAATCCAAATGCTTGGGGGGTACTGGGTTATCAATCAAGAGTCTAGATTACGTCTTCTGAATGTGTTTCCGTTGCCAAGGTTCTGCCCTGCGACAGTTGCCTTGCCAGAGCTCGTGGAGGCTAGCCCGAGAATGGCGCTATGCTGGCAAATCCTATGAGTAGGGACTGCAGGTGCAGAAACGATTGTTTCCATGGAATTGAACATGATACTGTTCGCACTCAAGTTGACAGTGTTGAATTTCGAGTTCGATAGATCTCAGGCGAAAAAGGCTTATAGGTTTGCAACACCTTCCCGGCTGGGCCAGGTGCGGTTACATTCCCTTTGCGCTCAGAGCTTCTTCCGGGATTCCTTCGCTGAGAAGTCCGAAGGCGTTAGCGCAAGTCACTAAGTCACCTCAAAAGAACCACTACATAATTATGGCAACTACAGCGGCAAACCAAAAGGAGTTTCAAGGTACTTGTATATAAAATGCCGATGTGCTACAAAGTATGTCTACAATGGTACATTAGTATACATCAGATTACATTAGTCCTGTTTGAGCCGAAGGTGCCTTTTTAGGATTCAAGTTTCAAGAGCAAAGGGTTATCAGATTACAACTTAAACTGTGGAATGCAAATGCATGGCCGGTTTCGGAGCCTGGATGTTTCACGGGCCGGCTATAGTGGAGGTCATTTGGTGGCCGTGGTGCAGGACGGCGTGAGTCTAAAAACTCGGAAAGAGGGTTTGCTGGGATTGGGAGGTGCGTGTGTATCACTATTTTTATATGTGTATATAGTATATATATATATATATTCATATTTACACCCATGAAGATGAACCTATACCATGAGTCTACGCGGTTTGTACCGGTTCGTGCCACAATATGAACACTTACCTGTGAGTGCAGTGTTTGTACGAAAGCTTTTTCCATCCTCCAATCACCGTGTTCAGAAAGGAAGGCCAATGAAGGCACACTAGCAATGCATTTAAATCAATGCCTCAAGGATTAGTCGAGGATGGAGCAAGAGCTTGTGACACCAAAGCAACCGCCAGCAAGACAGCTCAGTGTATGACCAAAACATATTTTAAAGAGGGTATATATTCACGTTTCCTACTGGTATCCAGGGGGGTCCAACGGTATTGACTTTGGATTTTTCAGCCCAATCACCTCCTCCATGGCCCCTGGAACCAGTCCTTTTGCTTTCGTGGCGGCAGGACGATCGAGGTCGTCACGTGGCTTCCCTTCCACTGGATCAGAGCCGCGGGGACAAGGCCGGGCATATGGATCGCCTTTGCCGTTTGCTTGTGACCTATAGCCTACAGGTATATATGATATGATAGCGGTTTTGAAGGAGGTTTTAGACAACTTTATTGTAGCTATTGTGGGGAGAGCAGTTTGGACATCAAGATCCATCAAGTCATGGCTCCTTCAGTTCGCTCCGATTTTTGAGAGAAACCCAAGCGCATGGGAAGTGATGGCTTGGGTTAATATTATAATGCCCCTCATTCCCCACACATGCTGGAACCCTCATAAGATTGCAGGTGTGGAACTTCAACCAGCCAGTGCGCTTGATCCTCAGAGGGCCGCTAGCAGGCTAGATGTGGAAGGGTTTGTTGTGACTCAAGCTGTGCACAGAAATAGGCCAACCATAGAGAGGGAAGATCGTGGACCAACCTGACCTGGCGGTTTTGTGAATTTTGGAGTGCAGGATAGTGAGGGGCAAGGAACACACTTGGTGTGGAGAAGAACCCCGGTTTGCTTGTGGGGTACCGACGGTACCGATACAGAGGCTTTGCAGGCCGCTTTTGGGTTTTGGTTTCCGCACTGGATTTGAGGGATTCACGTTTGCCAAGCCAGCGCAAATGATATGTTTATGTAATATAAATGAGTCTAGCACAACACCATATAATTGACTCAAGGCTTTGCGCTTTTGGATATGCCAACCCAAAGAAGGCCATGGCAAAGGCATGTATTAAGAAAGAATTGGCGGCAGTGTGCCCCTGAGAAATCATGCTTTACATTGCATTCAGAAGGAGGGTTGAGTTACCCAATTGTTTGCCCACGTCACCCATTGGAATCATTGGACTGATTGCAAGCACCTTTGCCCTTTAAGGTGGCGATGTGGGCATCTCCGTGCTTCTCAGCTGCCAATAGGCCACAGGAAAGCCACGAAAGACATGCGCTGGCTGGTTTACTTACATGTGGTGCATGTTGACCCACAGAATGCACAGGAAGTGGAGTATGGATTACAAACCCTGAGACGGCTGCTACCTGCCGACGGAAGAATTCCAGGCGAACCTAAGACCCAGCATCCCTGTAGCTGCAACTGGGTGTGGAGATGTCCTCCACCATGGGACACAATGGGACGGAAATAGTGCTCCATCAGATTCAGATAATTCTCTCGATGGATCCCTATCAATGATCCTGAAGGGATATAGACAAAGAGAATTGGCCTTCGTCGGCTAAGGTACCTGTGTCACACTCCGGCTGGGCCAGGCCTTGGAGGGTTGAGTTGATTTGGTAATGCACAATGACAATGTCCTTTTGGGGGGTTCGGGGTCACAGGGTTTAGGGCGCTCTATTTTAAAAGACGTCTTGCCAGAAGAAAGTTGGCCACCAAAGATGCCAAGAGCCTCCTAGTCAACCCAGACATCTACAATTACATTCTTGCATGGCAGTGGAGACACAATGCCAGGATCCACTGTCAAGAGTTGGGGTGGCACTGCCCGAAATCTTCGAGTGACCTACAGAAAAAAAGTGCGATGCTAACGGCGGCAAAGCCTTGTTTTTGGACTCCACATGACTCCACACAGGTTTCTTGTTTTATTCTTGAGCCAGTCACACGTCTAGATTTCAGGCTTGGTTGTCCTAGCTTTATGTCGGGCACGCCAGCCATAGATACAAGGAGCCAAAATAGTTTTATAAAGCAAAAGGCAAAGCAAACAAAATAGCAAAAAAATGTAGCTGTGCGTATTTGTCTCGTTTTTTTCACTCTTTTTTCGCTTTATTTTCGCATTTTTTTCGCTTTATTTTCGCTTCTGGGCACCAAGTCGTTGATTTTCTTCTTCAGCCGCCAGGCGCGAAGCAGAAGCAGTTGTTCGGCCTTGTGGCGTCTCAGCTGATCCTTTGATGCTCAGGGAAGAGTGCTTCCAGGGGGAAAAGTTGAAGAGATTGACCACGAACACCTGCCTATGGTATACCTGTCTATGAGCTATAAGGGATGTCATAGTGGCGGCGTTGTCTGGACGCGTCGAAAGATCTGCTCAGCGATACTGAAACTTGCCCGCGGAGGGATTCTTGCACCATGTTTGGCGGTGCTTAGACCAATTTAGACCTGCGAGGTGTAGCTCGTTTGGAGCGGGCGTTATTTTACCAAACCACCCACGGCGACCCGAGGTGCATGGCAACTTCCTCGAGGGGCGCCGCTTGGTGATCCCGGCCGGAGAGGTGGACCAGGCCGGCACAGCGAGAGAGGCTGCATGTGGAGAGGTGACATGGAACATTTGCGGTGTTAATTGGCAGTTCATAGCTTCATGCAAGTTTAGCTTGTAACCATTTGTAACCACCCTTCAAACGATCCTTCGATGCAGAAATGCCAGAAAGGAGTTAGGATCAGCGTTCATCAGCTGTACCTCAGGTAGTTGCAAGTTTTGGCCTTCCACTTTTCCTCGAGTTCCTTCCTTCCAGTGGGTCCCAGCTACCAGGCTTGCAAGGAGCCAACGACCTTCGACCCAGCAGGCTCTTTGGTCTTGGAGTACGAGGCCGTGGGGGACCAGTGGAGACTGGGGACCTTCCAGGAGCCTGAAACTGAAGTGGTGGCAGGCAGGTAATTAGACTAGAGGACACTTATTGTTGGCGGCATTCAACAGAACAGTAACTTCGTGTGAGGCCACCTGCGGCGCCTGACAATGTTATCGCATTGCCATGCCAGTGACTCCAGTGCGGCATCTAACATGGATGCGGCAGACAGTTGGAAGGCGTGGAAAAAGGAAGTAAACACCGCGGACATTCCGTTTTATTGCACGGTTGTTGATGCTTGATAAAGATCTTGTGCATGAACAGATGTCCTGATGTATTCTTGGGTTTAGTTGGGGATGGAATGGGAAGGGCCCTCATCAAACAAGATACTGTAACGGCTACTGAATGTTACTGACCAAGTCCAGAGTCCTTTGGGTGGGAACACTGAATTTTGCACGATGCTTTCGGTTGGACCAGAATGGCTCAGAGAGGGACGATGGCCGCGTCGAACAACGCGGCGTCTCAGCGGGTTTGACTGGGTGATGCTTTGATGGCCGAATCCCCTCGCAGCGAGCACGAGGAGTCTGGGCAGGTGAAGCTGGTGTGAGTTTGACCGGGCCGGTTTCCTGAAACTTCTTCCGTCAATGGGAGTCGACTTGTTACAGTAGATTATTGCACTTTGTTACGTAGCTTATTGCACTTGGTTACCTAGCTTACTTAGTGGTAGTAGGTTTGCCCCCTGTGGGCATGAAGCCACTTTGAGTTGCAGGTGCGTCAGCACACACTTATGGAAATGCGTACGGAACTGATAGCGGTGCCACACGCCGGCCTAGGGTTCCAGTTCCTAAGGGTACAGGGAAGGAAACCTAAAACTCCAAACGAAAACACCGAGCGAGCGGACGACAAGGTGACGACGTGCGTGCAGAAAAGCCAAGTTCATCGCCGCTGCAGTAGCCCTTTACTGAAGGAAACAACGAAGTAGACAGCTTGTGCTCTACGTAAGTTTCTCTCCCGGCAGGTACGTCGATTTGGCGTCCCAAATCGATATCACCAGCACACATCCAGTGTTTTCGTTGGTGCAAGACTGGGTGGGCTGCTTGCACCCCCTGCTGAGTAAAAAACAATTCAAAGGAATCCCTGTGACTACAAGGGGCACACACACAGCATTCTCCTTCTGATGATTAAAACATGTCCTCTTGAGGAATTTCTTTCGGTTGACAAGGGCCATCGACCATTGTCCATTCTGGGGCCTATCCCTGCGCTGGACCCTGCCATCAGGAGGAACAGCCGCCAGGTCGAGCAGATGCTTTGTAGATTTGTGGAGGGGCTGCAGGGCGATGCAGTTTTGTCGTGACAAGATATGAAACCACAGAGAATCCTTCATGAGGCATTTGCACTTTCAAGGGGTTGATAAAGACACAGGTTGGACCAGCCCATACATTGCCCTTGTATCATTGTATCGTTTGGTGGCTTCACACAGCAGTTCCGGTCTAACTCATAATCCTCATACTCATGTCGAACAAAATGGTTTGTCACTTTGGCACAGGCGAAGGCCCGGCAAAGGTCCGAGTAGATGAGGCTGAGGTCTGGAGGGTCTGGAGTGGGGTGAGGGGCAACAGTGCAGCGGCTTCTAGTCTAAAGCCTGCGGTGTGCGATGAGAATATAATAGATAGACTGACCCTGAAAAGACATTCTGCCATTTCTTGCTTTAGATATCTTTCGATATGATTCGCAACCCCAGTGAATAGAACCCAGAGTGCGCTCATCAGATAAGCGGGGGCGTTCGGAATTTGCACGGGGTGTTGAGCGGGGGATCTCACAGAAGTCTCTTTCTTCATTGCACAAGCACGACACGGCACGCCTTAGAGTTGTAGCTTTCTCCCCTGCAAACCCTGATGAGAGGTTGTATGGACTTGGTAGAGGGCCAAGAAGTTCGGCCAGGGGAGCCACAGGAATCGGATGCCAACTGCTTGATACTCATCACGGCTTCTTTACAGTCCGAGGATATTGAAGCGTGATGTTCAATGCATGGGTCCCTAAACGATCTAAAAGGTTAATAATACAATGTTATAAAGTCGTGTTCTTTACCGCGTCATTCCATTCTAGGGTTCAATACCCCAAGCTTGTGATGCTTTGAGGGCCACATTGCTGAACTTGTGCCGCTGCGTTCCGCTGGCATGAGCCCGTGGCTCCAGCTGCGCCATGGCAGAAGTTCCCGTGCTGCGGGTGGGGCCGCACCTCCGCCACGCGAGGCTGGGGCAATGGGTGCAGTGCTACAACTTATTTGAACCTATTGTTAAGCCTCTTCACTAGAAGGGAATATAGAGCCGTCAGTAGAATGAATATATGCCATAATTGTCGATACTTACTGAAGTCCCGAACCAGTGGCAACGTTGCAAAATCTACTCACCTGATGGCTAATCACTGCTGAAAGTTTATTTAGAAATAGAGCCGCCGAGTCATAGCACTTCAAAAACAGCTTCACACAACAACAGGGGCGACCTTATATTTAAGCCTCAGATGTCCCATTAACAACAGCCGTTTTGTTTTACTCCTTTTGTTTGGAGACGCCTTTTCAGCTCCTCCAGCCTGCACCTCTACTGAGATTGTGTGTCGTTGATCTCACTGTCCTCATCTCATATCCTCTCATTGGTCCTCCCTTTGGCCTGGCCCCTTTTTGTTGCCCCTTTGATGATGATGATGATGATGATGATGATGATGATGATGATGATGATGATGATG